GAATTTAAGGTACCACCGTTTATCTCTGCGTGACTGTAATTAAGAGGCCACTAAATGGTTTTGAATAAATTGAGTCTATGCATCTCTTAAGGCCTCAGCAGGCGGTAGGATTTTGAAGTACAACACCAATTAAAACTAAGATGTACAAGCAAATCTTAATGTGTGAAGGTTACAATTTTTTGAATTTGTAAACCTTAATACTAGATGTAAAGCATAGGACATGTTCTATTTAGAAAATCTTGTCCTACAGACCTCCCGCAATGACAAGTAACAGATTGCCAAATTATCACCTGATAATGGGTGTAATGAATGAAATTCCAGAACAATTAGGGCTAAAAGGTAAACATAGTAGTAAGATGGGGTTAAAATGATTTTTAACAACTCTTCAGGAGACCCAAAGTTGTGGTATGTTCGAATCCCAAATTATTCCGAAAATGATTATGTCACGGTATTGAACTGTTCTCTAATCAGGGGAGGTAGTTTGTAGGCGGTCGGATAGCTTAGTCAGTAGAGTATATAAAATAAAAAAAAATATAAAAATGGAGGTGTTTCAATCATTACTCATGGTGAAAAAAAATAGTGATAAAGTATGTAAGGGATCAATTGGGAGAGAACTTTTTTTTAGGGAAACCTCAGGTGTTTCCTACAATGCAGAATTACAGTCTTAATGCAAGTGTTGTACTGCTTTGAAAATTGTACATCTTATTGTACAACTTAATCCTACCGTCTGTTGAGGCCTTTAGCTTCAGCATGTGAGGAGGTTTTGACGCTTTATAAAATATTGTAACACTTGAAATTACCCAAAATCATTTTTACTGTTTCGGCGCCAAATGACCAAAATTTTGTTGGTGCGCCGTAAAACCGAACAAAGCAAAAATAATTAGTTTCATGTACATCCGCATAAGTGTTTATGTCATTATGGTCCGTACACTATATCAAAATATACATGTAATACTAGTATGGCGATCATTTTAAAAGGCCTTATACAATGTTACATTACGCAGCAAAGTTTAAAAGAAAACACATCCGTGAATTTGTTTAGAATACAGTAATAAACACACCGAGGTGTACTCATATACATTTGCTAAACGTACGTTTTAAACACACTTGTCATCATTATACTATACGTATTTAATTATCGTATGTAGGCCAAGCCTGAATATGTAATGTATGAAATATATAGCGGCACAATTCTTTAATTCCGCTCGTAGTTACATACTCATCTATTCAGATTTATGCTAAATTTATAACTTGAAACTGTCTCCACAAAAAAAAAACACAAATTTTAATTGATATTTAAATTACTACACTTTAATTATTATTTTATTTATTACATCATAATTTCGTGTCATTAACAACGATAAGCAACGATTAAATTTAAAAATGTGTAAATAAAATTCTTACCGGATTGTGTACTGTAGCCATGTTATTTTGTTTTCCGAAAATACACACGTTAAGTTAAGTTTTAAGTATCGGCCTCTTATCCGAAACATGTGATGTCCTGGTCATGTGATGAGTATGGTGTCTTATTAGAGCCATAACAAAAGCGTTGTCACGAGATAATTGAGACCACAGGACAGTTAAAAGAAGAAACAGTTAGGAATGTCAAGAGCACCGCTTACTGTAATCCCCCCGCCGCCACTCCACCCCCCCCCCCCCCGAATCCTCACCCTTGGTGGACAGAGAGGAAGATATGAAGGGTATGGGGACGATTAAAGATTTTACATTTGAGCCGTGTCACGACAAAACCAACATAATGGGTTTGCGACCAGCATGGATCCAGACCAGCCTGCGCATCCGCGCAGTCTGATCAGGATCCATGCTGTTCGCTTTCAGTTTCTCTACTTGTAATAGGGTTTGTAAGCGAACAGCATGGATCCTGATCAGACTGCGCGGATGCGCAGGCTGGTCTGGATCCATGCTGGTCGCAAACGCATTATGTTGGTTTTGTCGTGACGCGGCTCATTTCGACTATCCACGAACTCCCTGTTTTTTAATGGACTCAAAATAAACAACGGACTAAAAATAGCAGGCGATCCTCGCAGTGCAGGGGTGTTACATGTACGCAGACATTTGACTATTTTACAGTCCGCAAACGACAATGCAATGAATGATAATTGATAATCGAAAGACAAAGTCCCCGCTTATTCCAAGGGAAGACAGTGATTACAATTAATTGGGTTGCTTGAAATATTAAATACAAGACGGGTTAATTAAGAAGCTTTACACATTAACATATTAAAAGTTTCCTTATTTCTGTATTTATCACGTGAAGTCCACGACAGGACGCTATACATATATAGTTATCGGTTATTAGTTATCTTCCGCTTTTATCACTCAGTCCAATGCCGACATTTTCAAACATGTTCAATTTATTGTATCCCACGCTATTCAAATAAAAACGTTATCTTCGTTTACATTATCTATATAGGTCAACATGAAAATGTTGCTGTTCATTCATAGTGAAATTATTTTCAGAGTTTAAATTATAAATGTATGTTTTTCTGCTTTTGAAAAATAAAAAGTATAGATTTTTAAAGCTAAATTAATGGGTTATAAAGGTTAAATGACAGCTACCGTTTCATTTTTATCTCATAGACTCATCATTTTATTCATTTATTTTCTTATTTATTTATATATATCATTTTATTGTTGTTTTTTTATTGTTGTTGGTGATGTTGTTGCTGTTGTTGTTTTAGAAGGATTTTTTACTCCGATACTTTTTGCTGGGAATGATAGTTTAGTACCATTTTTGAGATCCGTTCAGAACCTTGAATTTAATGGCGTATTTTATTTGTCCGTATCATCTAAGTAATCATTTTTTACAATAACTCCCACGCTTGATTATATAGTATATAACTGATGAAAGAAAATATAGATCACAAAGATAAATACATGTATATGTATACTATTTTTGTGCGTTTTACTCAGTGAGTAATGTTTATGGGGTGTGTATGGTTAAAAACGGTTTGTTTAAAGGTCCATTATGACTGAGATGGGCTTTTATTTTTATTTCTCAAAAGTTTTATTAATTTTTTTTGTATACTTTTATAGTATCCGAAATGTTATTCATTGGCCAATTATCTGAACCATCTTTTACATTTGTTGCTTAATTTCTAGTATAAAGTACAGTTATAGTGAATTAGTATTTTGTATGGATCTGCTTTTATTACAAATATTTTCGAATTTAACGCTATTTTCGTCAAGTACAAGGAACTAACATTCTAATCAACAATTATTTAAACATTATAAAATTCATGTTTGCCATTTCTTAAAAAGTTAATATTTATTTGTTTTTTTAGGCATAATGTGCCTTTAAATCATGCAGTTAATTTTAAAAATAAAAGTAAAGTTGAAGTAGTTTGCTACATGAACTAATAACCTGTATTTTGTTACAGTAAGTTGCATCTATAAGTTGGTCAGTATTGCAACCAACCACTATCCCTCCACCTACACCCCTACTCAACCCCTACTCAACCAAGCAAGGGCATGGTATTTTGCTTCCGTCTAATAATAAGTTTAAAGGCCCATTATGCCTCTGAAATGCTTAATTTTTATTTCTCAAAAGCTCTTGTTTTAGTTTCCAAAAGGTAAGTCAATTTACCAATTACCAGAACTATCTCTTGCTTCTGTTGCTTTTTGGTAAATAGTAAGTAAAATAATGATTTAGTATTTTATATAGAAGTCAGTGAGTTATTTTGCTAATTGTATGACAAATAATTCGCATTCAACGCTTCTTTCTCCAGGTGATAAACGTGTTGTTATAAAATTATTTGCCTATTCTTAAGAAAGAAAGAAAAAGCTTTCTTAAGGCAAAATGTGGCTTAATTAAGAAACGTTTTACGGTCACAGCTTTAGAAGGTAATTAAATGTTAAATATCTAACTTTATAACTTATTATTTTTTTTAAAAAATGAACTCCTGTATAAAGTCCTTGAAAACATATCTGAGCAGTTTGTTGTTCTCCTAGGCGATTGGACAGAATGCTGAAATAACTGATATTGTTTTCTTAAGTGCCCATTAAGTTTAAAGGAGGTCATGAAGTGGCTTGTTTCTGTCCTCTTTAACATAAGGGCACAATTGTAATGGGTGATTGTGGTCGCATGGTTACATTTTATTCCCTTATAATTCGCTAAGAATGACTCACCCGATGAACATTACATGTCACTTTCCTTTCTGAATATTACTGACAGAACACCACTCCATCACCATCCACTTTATAAAGACTTCCGCCCCGTAAAAAAATCAAAAAGTCACTCACTGAATATTTTTTTTTAACAACTAGCTTAATGAAAATAACTCACTTGATACTACTAACATAATAAAAATGGCTCACTGGATACTTCTAACACAATTAAAATAACTCATTAGATACTACTAACTAAATGAAAATAACTGACTGGATACTACTCACAAAATAAATATAACTCATTAGATACTATTTACTTTATAAAAAAAATTACTCACCCTATAAACAAATCTCACTGAGCACTCTGGCAATGAAAAATTATCTCGCTGAACAATAATCACCCCGGGAAAATTTCGACATTACCCAGTAAATTTGACGAGTGGCAGTTGATGACACGTTTTATACAATATTAACTTTAAAACACAACTGAGGTTATTTGAGGGTGGTTTCCAGTAATATCAATCCCTTTATGGAATGTAAATATTTACGAGTTTGAGTTGCTTTAGTTGGCTGCTACCTATAAAGGTGTCTTGGTACCAGTGTGCATTGTGGCGGAGAGGCCCTATCTTCAGCCCGACGCTCTTTAATTAAAAAGCTTTTCCTCCGAGTTGATTTACATGGACTTAGCACTGTCATATTTACAATGACATCGGAATACTGGTTAAAACTATACATAGTTTGTAATTATGGCTTGGTTATATATAAAAATCTCTGGAAGATCTGAAAGTAAACGTTTGATGACGTAACATCAGACGTCGGTACTGACGTAACATTTGACGTCGTCTCCATGAAGATAAAATCATAATTACGGTTGTTGCTGACATAAAAACATTGGAGAACGCGCTTATTATTTAAGCTTAAAATTGCATATTTTACAAGAATGGGTACATGTTTTGGAAAGAGAACACCAAAGAGAAACGCTGTATGTCCGTCTGCTGAGAACGGTAATCCGTGTAAGAGGAATTTACGGAAAGAACCAGAAGATATGATACGTGACTTGGAGGAGGGTAAAAATTATTACAGATTCTTTCAAAACTTTAAAACTTGACAATCTTTTAAATGGTTCATAAAAAACTTGAGTGAAACTTTTATTTGGAATAAGAACTTAAAACAGACTATATTTGTAAAGAGATTAAATAAAAAAGCATCATTTAAATTTTTACGTTATTTGATTCCTTTTACAAATACCAACCAAATAATGCGTAGAAAAACTTGAAATATGAATGAAAAAATAAATAATAATATCATCCGCTAGTTAAGAAAAGAATGCGGCAATGAATTATATGACTGCAAATATGCAATAAATATTAATGATATTTTTCACAGCAAATGCCGAAGACTCTAAGTAAGATTGGAAATGCTGGCGTTTCCTTCACTGTTGACTTTACAGACGGGGATCCGACAAGAATGCCTTCCCGACTGGCAGACCGTCTAAACGGAGCTATGACCCCAGCAGCCGAGGACCATAACGAAGTATGATTGTGATCATTATTTTTTCTTTGCTTTATTTCTTGTCATTTCATCTGAATGTTTTTATCCATATATCTAATAATTTTGCATAAGGACAAAATTTTCACGGTTGTTAGTTTAAATCATATTTAATCATGGTTGTAAGACAAGTACCTTATCATTTTCGAACCAGCTTCCTGGAATAAACGAGTACGACTGCATTCTTGTCGTTTCTTTAGTAACGATCTAACCCACAATAAATCCCTGGACGAAGAGTGTTATACTATGTCACTGCTTTTCTCATGAATGTTAATGAGAAAGTGCTCAGACCTAAGCTAAAATGTCTGGCAATACGTATATAGCTAAACTGTCTGGCAATACGTATATAAACCACTTTAGTAAAAGTACAAGTCACTCGTTAACAAGTCTGTAGGTTTTAGTATAAACATAAATTATATTTCTGTACAATGCTGGCTTGTATGATAAATATGGAGTCTATGCATCTCTTAGCTCTAGCAGGTTAGATGATTTTGATCCCTGGTGTTGCTTGTTAACACACGAGGTTAGCCAAATTCATGTTTCCTATTCCGGAGTCATATGAAAACTGTGTTGGTACCAACCGTACAATTAAATAGCACGTATGAATAAAAACAAATTAGTAGTTTACATATGCAATATCAGGAATGATTCTGGCGAATTCATTAACATTATAATTATTGATTTGCACTGTTCTTAGCGATTTATTTCATTATATGTAGAATATTATATATATTTTATATAATTTCTTTGTAAACTAGGTAACTTACACACCTGAAGAAAGGGAGATAATGGCCGAGCTTTTGCGCAATGATATATTACGAGAGAGGAAGGAGAAGGCAGCTGGTCACTCCGTGGCAAAGTACTAAAAGGGTGGCAAAGTACTAAAAAGGTATGAACAGCAGTACCGTTTAACTGAACAAATTGTGTTTAACAGGCCGATATGGGGCAAACGAATTAAACCCTAAGATAATATTGCAAATTTTATTCCGATGTGTAAGAAATAGGCGTTTTGGACAATCATTTTTCATTAATATATTTGTGCCTTTATCACATGTATTATGTTTTATTCAAATATTATGCATACCTGTTAATTTCTTTGTTTCGCGTTTAAAGCAGCATGCCTCTAGATTTTATTAACAAAAAGTGGTCAAAATGTGCAAAGATAGTCCTTACTGTGTTAGTCACGCAGTAGAAATATGATAAAAACTGCAAAATCGGCCATAATATAATCACAAATACCATGCAGATTATTTCTTGAATATTTTTACTTTTCTTATTCTCAATTTTGTCTTTCTTGAAGTATTTAGGCTCATCTGGATGCATGCAGCTTTAATGAAACATTGCATTATTAAAAACTCATTCATTTGTATATTTAAATTTTGAGAGAAAAAATACATTTATTGTGAAACAGACGGCATATATCTACCGCCTTTTGGTAATGTGTGTGACCTGTTAGTTGTTTATACTTCCTCTATATTGATTAAAACCAACAATCAAACCGCTTACATCATTATTAGCAACTGCATGAAAGTCATATGAATTTTTCGATAGTAATTAAATATCTTTGGCAGTGTGCAAACATCTATCGAAATGATGTACTTTAAGAAAATTTGTCAAAATTCTAAAATATAAAACTTGTCTTAATGATTTCTTGAAAGTTTTGTTATAGAAATAAAAAAAATATGTATATTTCAGGAATTCTTCGAATATTTGTGAATGGAGTTTCATCTTTACAACACTTGCCAAAGAAACTTCTGAAGAAGATGATTTTGTCTTTAACTTATTATTATTACATATATGTTTGAATGAATAGTCTACAATAAAACTTGAAATTGAAATTGAGTTTCTTTTGAATTTCTTTTCTAAAATTATTTAAACAAAAACAAATTGAAGGAAAAAAGATAAGTATCCCAGATATGTGAAAACAAAAGTCAAATTGAGCCTTTGTATAAAAATATTGAAAAATGTATGGTCGTTTATTTAAGCAGCTTTCAACATTTAATATTTTTTGTTAAACGGATCAGAAGGAAAAAAAACTTTTTTTTCAACAAAAGTTAGTGGAGCAGCAACAAAACACTTTGTAGATTTCCCATCAAATGGGGAGGCTGAATGTTGCCATCATCAACAACAAGGAGCATTTGTGATGCGTGTATGTGGCCGCTCGATCAAAATAAATCGCATACATTCAGTATGCACTAACGTAACTTATTAAGCATCACTCACTCCATGAACATAATTTACAGTACTAACTTAACACTCTTCACGAAAAAGGACATAACTAACTGAGCACTTCTAACTCCCTTAACACTTCTCTTTTGAAAACATTAATAGCAGCTGAGCAGAACAGTCTTTACGCATTTTACCCATTAAGTATTACTATCTTCGTTAAAGGAACATCACTGGGGTAAAAAACCTAAGAAGATAAAATTGAATTTCTTACATAAATCAGACGCACTTAAGAACATAAATAAGTATTTTTATTACATGCTTTTCGGTGGTTTAACTTTATAGAAATATATCAGTGATATAAAACTGGTAATTTCACTGTTTGAAACAGTGAAATTACCACTTTGATAATTTCACTGTTTTGAATTTAAGCCCCTTACGTTGTTTCAGTGAAATACCAGCGTGCACAGTACTGGGTACCAACTTAATGACGTGACGTCGTAAATGACGCCACGTTGTATTATTATTTGGCGCGGTTTTCATTCAGTATTAGGTTAAATGTCTTTTAAAAACGTTTCTTTGCATATAATAAAAAGAAAATTTGTTTAGTTTAGTGTAAGATTGAAATATATTTCACCTTGTGAACACCAAAAGTTCATATTTCACTCGTGGCTGCGCCACTCGTGAAATATACCTTTTGGTGCTCACTCGGTGAAATATATTCCGATCTTACACTGAACTAAACAAATATCCTCTATATCACTTCATGAACATTACCAACTGAATATTTCTCACTTTCTTCTCAATGCGTTTTCAGATTTTCATTTTAGGAACATTACTCAATGGGTGCCAGTCACTCCTAGTAAATTTCTAAAGGAGCACCACTCACTCCGTCCATACCTTTGCCTCCGAAAATATTACTCACCACTATTCAGGCCGTTTGAATTTCTTAAGGTACATTACTTACTCTGTTAACACTTTTGTCCCCGAAAATATTACTCAATGATCATTATTCGATCCTGAATTTTGAACACTTTGAATAATATTACTCGCTGTGAATATGACTGATCGCTACTCAATATAAAAACCTTATATGTTGACGGACAGTCGGTACATACCTTACTGAACATTTCTATTTCCTTGAAGCTTACTAAATGAACATCAATCATAGTCGTTACATTATTCTACGAACACGTACCTGACGGTTTACACTACTAACTAAACACTTCCCACAAGAAGAACATTTCGTAATACTCACACCGTGAACATTAATAAACATTGCTTAATGAATATTATTCACTTCAAGAACATTACTCAGTAAACAGGAATGGATCCGTGGAAATCTCAACATTGCCCAATGAATTTTTACGAGTGGTATTAGATGTTAATTAAATGACCTAGAATCTTTTCATCATATAAAATCTAGACTTCTTAATTAGTAACTTTGCGATATGCAACTGACATCGAAAATTGAAGATAGAAATTTGAAAAAAAAAAACAGTTTACAGGTATATTTCGAACTAATATTTTGATATTTCCTTAATTAATGTGAATGCAAACGTTTGATGACGTAATGTCAGACGTCGGAACTGACGTAACATTTGACGTTGTCTCCATGAAGATAACATCATAAATACAGTTGTCACTGACAAACATTGGAGAGCGCGCTTATTATTTAATTTTAAAATTGTATATTTTACTAAAATGGGTACATGTTTTGGAAAAAGAACACCAAAGAGGAACTCCGTATGTCCGTCTGCTGAGAACGGTAATCCGTGTAAGAGGAATTTACGGAAAGAACCAGAAGATATGATACGTGATTTGGAGGAGGGTAAACAATTTTTTTTGTTCTCTATAGATGTAGAACTTCCAACTTTTACAACCTTTACAGCGGCTACTAGGGAATGTTATTGTTAATCTGTTATGTTCAATTAAATCTCACAACAAATCTATTTTATCTGATAACTGAATAGAATATACAATTTCAACTAATAATTTAAAAAAATTTACCTTGTATTTAATCATAAAGTACGAAGCCTTATAATTCTTTTGCATGAATATTCAAGTTAGAAAGAAAACACATAACATTTATGCTAAAGCGAAGGAACTGTGTTTGGGCCATATTCTATGTTTGTATCTCAAATATATGGTAACAGAAATGAATATCTGAATAAAAGTAGAAATGCCAGCAAAGAAATATATCATTGCGTATACACATAATTAAATAAATAGATTTTCTATTAATTCTACTTTTCCATAGCCAATGCCGAGGACTCCAAACTAGCAAACGGTGGCGTTTCTTTCACTGTTGACTTTACAGACGGAGATCCAACCAGAATGCCTTCCCGCCTGGCAGACCGACTAAATGGAGCTATGACCCCAGCAGCCGCAGATCATAACGAAGTATGAATGATGTTATAAACATCGTTTTTCTTTACTTTATAATGATGCCATTTTTTCCGATCATTTTTATATCTATCTACATTATGTTGTTTTGTTAAGCTTCACAGATCCTATATGTTGTATTAGACTTAAATACTTCATCATTTCCAAAGGCAATCCACAGTAATAGCGCATTAATTGGTCCATACTAACCAAACTCCATGACAACCGAATGCAACATATTTTCTCCATCTGCAATTGCCATAGACCATCATCTTCTTTTACATATTTTAATTTAGAATTTTTGTGATATCGTGTTTTCCTTTTGTGTCATCTATCTAGAATGAAAATTCAGTTCTAGAAATATCGTTTTTTTTTCTACCTTTTTTTTTGGACATTATGTTAAAACTTAAGAATGACTAGCATTGGAATTCCTTTTGGACGAGGTTATTAAATTGTAAATAAGCATAGAAAAGAGAGGTAACTGGAATATTTGAGGAGTTGTCTCCCCTTTCATTATGTTTAAGTCACTTATAATTCTTATCAGAATGACCACACAGGCAATTTGATGATTTTATGTTTTACAATTTGTAATTGGAATGTTGTATATGTTTTGTATGAATGAAAATTTTATAAAGATTATATATGGTTGAGTATGGCTGTACCATCCCGGAATTTAGAGACAGGTATTGCATTCATCAGTAGGCAACTGCTACCTTCCTAAATATTACGGGGAATTGTAATTGAATTTCAAAAATCTCAATCATTTTTGTTGTGTCCAATTCAACTTTTTTATGAACTTGATTATTTACACATGTGTTTGGTTTATACATATTGTGTAGAAAGTGATAAGCTTATAGACACACTTTCGAATCTGTCCCTGGAACCAAACAGTACTGAGCAATGAGTGTAAAGTTTCTAGCTCAAGGAAACAACGACTTGCCCCTTACGGGTTTGAACCCATGCAGCTAGCGATCATAAGATCACTAGTCCGAGACCATGCCGCCACACATGTATTTGTTTGCAATATGAGTTCAGTCATTTTGACAACTCAGTTGTGTATGTATATGATTTATTTTCTTTTTATACTAGGTTATTTACACACGTGAAGAAAGGGAGATCATGGCTGAGCTTCTGCGTAATGATATTTTGCGGGAAAGGAAGGAGAAGGCTGCTGGAGCTAAGAGCTAAAAAAGGTATGAAATAGGATGGCAGTGAGATGTAATATTTGTATTCAATAACTAATTTGAAACTTAATGATTCAAGAGAGAAAATATTTTAAACATGTTGTGGTATTTAAATAAAAGGTTTTATTAACCACTGTTCATTATAACATGTATGAGATCATCTCTTGAATTGAACGATGACGTATGTACAAGTATATGTTGCTGTTTGTAAATATTTCTTACTAGCTTTACACGCGTTTATATACATATTAACAAAGCTGGGTTGTTGTTGTTTTTAAATTCTACCTTTTGGTCGAACTGTAGTTGCTTGAATCTGTTCTTTATCGATTAGAAACAAACAACAAATTAATTAATCGAAAGTTTAGTATGAATCAAAGATCTACCTAAAGTTATAAAGTTTTAGCTAATAAATAAAATATGTTAGTGGCCATTTGATATACATTGTACATGTCCTGCAAATTTTGTGATGAAAAATATATTGTATATTTCAGGGATGCTGAGAATATTTGTGAATTACAACATTTGTCAAAAGGGACTTCTCAATGAGATGATTTTGTCTTTAACTTACTTTATTTATTATACATGTATGTTTGTTTGAATGAATGATCCTCATTAAAATTTTACATTTGACATTGATTTTCTTTTAAATTTGTATTTTAACAATACAAAAATTCTGAAAAAGACAAGATGGTCACACGGGAGAATGGAAAACAAAAGTAAATACTTTGTACATGAAATTTCACAGATTTAGGTTCATTGAGCTTGTTCTTGAGAGACAATGATAGGTGCATTTCTTCTCATACCCCTAAACTTGTTTTGACTTAGACAGTATTACATGTAAATCTTCAAAAGTTGATTAAGTGTGACTGAATCAAAGAAGAATACGTGATCACTTGATTCAAATGTTGATTCAGTTCTAATAGAAATTAGAGAGGAAAGTATCGAAGCTTGCCGAAAATATACGAAATATACAAATAACCATGGATGAAATACCTTAAAGAGTGTCAAAAAGAATATGCTTCCGGCCGAGAACTGATTCGATGTTTTATTGGCACAATTAATGTATTCAATACAAGTACATTATTTGTTTTATTCGTTCGTTCATTTGTTCCTTCCTTCCTTCCTCGTTCGTTCATTCATTGGGTACATGCTAAGTCTCTCTATTACGTATTTGGATGCAAGTTACAATGAATGTATGACATGAAAAAAAAATTAAATTGATTGACCTGTTATATACTATAAGAAATATAAACGGACGTTACATTGGTAAACTGTTGAAGATAGATTGTAGATTTTGTACAGATCAGTATATCGAAAACGAATAACATTTTGTAGCAAAGAGTTCATTTTATACACACATATATATATATTCTGAATATTTTGGTGAACTGTATAATACAAATGATTTTAACACAAAGAATGATTCAGAAAAAAATTATTTTATTTGATAAATAACAAATCTAGAACGCTTACTAAATACATCGTCAAAGTATACTTGTACAGACGACAAGGCATTTACAGATAAAGGACCTTTATAGAATAAATTATAATTATAAATTAAACAAAGATTATATACATTTTAAATATCAACAAATGATGGCCATATGAAAGACAGTTATATATGTGTTATTCATATTTCTATCACGTAGTAGCTACGACTTCAACAATTGATATAATCACTAAGTATATATATTGTTATTCTTTAATAGTTATATCTGGTGGATTAGGAATTAAATGATATACATGTATCAGTATATGATTTATTTTTGATAACGCCAATTAATGTTTTAATCACAGTTATTTTTCCCAAAAGTGTTAAAATTCTTTTTGACAATTGTGTGAGAATATATTTTATTTCATTAATTTTATCTTTATAGTTTGGATCAACCATATCTTCAGGTAGGGAGAATATTTAATACATGTACCTAGAAGACTGACTGTGATACTTACAACATTAATAGTACAAAGCAAAATGTAAGAAATTTAAAGTAAAGTGGCATTTTGTCTATGTCCCAGATGGAAGTTTATCACTCAACACTTAAAAAATTATTTATCTACAAAATTCAACCTTTAAATAGCATTTTTTACATATTTACTGTAACCTATTGTTTGAAGACGCATTATTATTTCAACAACAGTGCCTAATATTCCGTTTAGGAATTTCCATTTCGCGTTAAGAGAACGTTTCGAGTTATTTAGTCAGACCGGAAGTTTAGATTATTTTGTGCCAACAGAGCAAGATTTTTTTGCCGAAATTTTGATTCCGAGCCTATCCTGGACATAAATCTGTCAAATTTCGTTGAGTTAAATTATGGACGCCCCATCTAACTTTCGACAATGTAATTCTTGATTATTTTCATACAATATTTTGTATTTGAGATGAAAGGGAATCAGAACTAAGTGACCATATTTTCGGATATTATTTTTATACAAGAGTTTTCGGATATTTTACAATTTATTCAGTGTTTTAAGCTTATGAAGTAAACTTTTTCATAGTAAAAGTAGCACAAATGAAATAAATATATTGAACTTTAGCAGCCCAGGCATTATTATATCAATTATAGTACCTAATTTAAACTATTTTAAGATAAGATTTGTTTAATTTCAAGTTTGCAACATTGAGAATAATACAAGTGATATTTGGTTTCCACTTACTGTCATTTCCATTCTTGATTTGAAAATAAGAGTCAGGCATTGTCTGGCATACGCCGCATAGTAATGAGTCTGATCAATTGGAATGTAAATTTATGGTTACTCAAAATTTATTTTATTTTTTCAGCCTCTGGTAAAAGAAAAGGAGGTAAAAGCAGGGCACAGAAACCAACCGTCTTTGATGACACAAGTGTCCAGCACGGCCCTCCACAGCAAAGCTTTGGACAGCCACAGCCTAATTTTTATGACCCAGGTAAAAATTACCAAGTAGTACAATTTAGAATAAGGAAGTGGCTAGTCGTACGGGCCCTTACGGCTAGCCAAAAGTTCTAGCCGTACGTGAGTCACATACGACTTGCCAGGTCACACTGTATTGGCTAGCTGTATGGCACTTTTCAAAATTATATGAAAGTCAAAAATGCTTTGTTATTGCTTTAACTTTAAGCAAGGATTTTAACCAAGAAACAGCATTTGTCTTTGTATGTTTACCGTTTAGACATTAATGGCCATGTTGGCTACAGTAAAGAAAGTACGATTATCGATCTGTGTCATCTCCAGATGTCGAGAGAAAAAGAGCATTTTGGTTGCAGTTGAAAAACATCAATTGAAATAGTTTACAAAATTGTGATAATAGTCCTTTTTTGTTTTATTAAGTGTAATTTTCAGCACCTTTTAAAATGAAAAAAAAAAACACTGAAAATAATTGTTGTTGGGCTCTGATAATTGCGACAATTACTGAAATTAGAAGATTGTCCATCATTAGGGAAAGTTTACATGTTCCATGAAATGCATGAATAAAATCCTATTCCCTTTATAGGCTTCAATTATGGCTAATTGATTGTGCTTTTATGTTCGATACTCATCTACTGTATTTAAAAATCATAGAATTGTGTTTGCTTTTCACTATTTTTTTATGAATTATTTAATCATAAATATAACTTTGCATGTACTTTGTATAATGCGTCATGCAACTTTGACGCTTTTTTCAAGATTACAATGCTTGCATTACCTTCATTATCAATTTTTTTTTTTTTTAACAAAATGGCAGAGGATCTTTATTAAAGTGAACATACTAGGACAAATGGCTTAATGCAGGTACTTGTTATAAATCCTTGTTGAAAGACACAAAAATAACACATGCATTTTCGATTTTCATATAATTTTGAAAAGTGTTGTACAGCTAGCAAATACAGTGCGTCCTGGCTAGTCATACGTGACTCACGTCTCGCTAGAACTTTTGGCTTTGAAAGATTAATTTAAGAGTTAAGAATATTTAGTCTTTTTTTTTTCTTTTTGAATAACAAAAGAAAAACCCGAATTCAAGCAAACCAACTTTGTGAATTCAAATCATTGACTATTTTATTAATGGTATTCAGGGTTGTCATTAAGAGGCGACAGGAGGCCAAAATGCCTGTCTCAAACGCATTATGGGCCGCCTCAAAATTAAGAAAACACTCTTTGTTATGCTTTTTAAAGACAGAAATGACCGCCTCAAGTTCAAAACAAACCTTTTGCAAAAAATGTTAATGACAACCCTGGGTATTTTTTTCAGTTGGAGAATTGTGTACAAATTCAGGCTATAATATATATCAATGTTTAAGAAACAAATGATATCTATTTCATACTGATACATGTAGCTGTTTTGTCTTCAAATGAAAACCATCAATGCATAATTTACAGATGCATTGAAGGCTAAACAGTTATCTGTAAACTCATTTTTAGCTCGACTATTCGAAGAATATGAGAGCTATTGTAGTCGCCCCGGCGTCAGCGTCCGCGTCGGCGTCTGCGTTGGTTAAAGTTTTTTGTAAAGTCAAATATCTCAATTATTACTTGAGATATTCAATTGAAACTTACAATACTTATTTATAGTAACAAGGTACATCAGATTGACAAGTTGGATAACTCTGCCTACAATATTGACAGAATTATGCCCCTTTTTAACTTAGAAATTTTGGTTAAAGTTTTTTGTAAAGTCAAATATCTCAATTATTGCTTGAGATATTCAATTGAAACTTACAATACTTATTTACAGTAACAAGGTACATCAGATTGACAAGTTGGATAACTCTGCCTACAAAATTGACAGAATTATGCCCCTTTGGAACTTAGAAATTTTGGTTAAAGTTTTTATGTAAAGTCAAATATCTCAATTATTGCTTTAGATATTCAATTGAAATTTAAAATACTTTTTTATAGTAACAATGTACATCAGTTTGCAAAATTGCATAACTCTGCGTGCAATATTTGCAGAATTATTTGCCCCTTTGAAACTTAGAAATTTTGGTTAAAGGTTAAAGGTCTTCAAAGATATTTACTTGAAACTTTACACATGCACTTAGGGTCATAATTGGAGGGTCATAATTGTATGTCACTGACCAAGTTCCATAACTCTATCTTGCATTAAGGCTGATTCATATCCCCTATTCTACTTCACATATGCATTTAGGTTCATAATTGTAGGTCACTGACAAAGATCTATAATTCTATCTTGCATTTAGGTAGATTTTTCTCCCCTTTTTCAACTTAGAAATTCATGGTAAAGTTTTGCTTGTAAGCTGTTATCTCAATAACTACTGAAGGGTTTGTGCCTTTTTTGGGACAATTTATGCATTCATAATAATAAAGCAGTGATTTACTTCATAAAACATCTTAATAACAAGCCTTTGTACCTTTTCTGTCAAATTTATGTATTCATAGGTAATTAGTATTATTATACTCAATAAAACACCAGAGATCTGCCAAGAATTTGAAAGTACTGGGCCCTGGGCCCACTTGGTCTGAAAATGAAGGGCCATTTTTACCAAAGTATGGGCCTTGGGAAAATAAGTAAACATTGACAAAAATAACTGTTAAAAAGTTTGTAGATAATTGAATTTCCCTGGTAATTAAACTTAAATCATATTTTATGACAAGTGGTTCACTAATAATTCAGTACTTAACCAATAATTAAAAATTATGCCTACATGGTAACTATCTAACTAATATTAATAGCAGGCAAAATATTTTTTAAATGGCTGCTCAAAAATTTGATATGCAAATTAATTCACATAATTGCTGGTTCTTACTTGTAATGTTTTATACTGTGCATTATCCATTTAATTGTTCCTACTTTGCACCAAATGTCCCTTACAACTGTATATTGACGAATTTTATTGCCCCTTGTATGCCTCTGTGTAGACAGCATACATCAAAGACATTTGCCGACAGACCTTTTGATCATGAAAGAAGTCATGCACAATGTTTCTCTGATTGGTTAATCACCCTGTCAAATATTCTGATGACGAAATATACATCTTTTTTTACACTTCATCAGCCAAAACTTGCGTGAACTTGAGTGACATTAGGGTTGATCAAGTTGAACACCTGTCAGATTATACTGAAACTTACAGCATTTCTTAAAATAGCAACACTTTTTTTTCAGTTACCGATAATCATTTTAAATATTAAGTACAGTAGTTGTATAATTTGTTTGTTTGTTTTATTGGATTAAATTTACGGTAGTAGAAATGAGTATCTGTGTGGGAAAGGGATTATGAGAAGAAATGCGGTAAGTAGATAACATGGACAAAAGCTATAGGGGAATGAACAAACTCAAGAATATGCGTAATTACAGGAGCATGGGTGGTACCAGTTTTGACTGGATGACTAAATAACCCAGCAGACAGTTTTGTTTTCTTATAAGTCTGGCACAGATTTTAGATGCGCCCATGGCCCTTTGCTGCCGATTTTCCTGCGCCATTCTCATTTTTTTGGCGCCAATGGCGCAAAATCGCGTCCTCGGCAGATCTCTGAAACACCCTTGTGATATTACCCTTAGAATAGTCAAGCCAATACTGTATAATTAGACTCTCTCTCTAAGGCCAATAACATGAATTTGTAAAAAAAAAATTAGCCCTTTTGTGAACTTAAAAAATTTAACATTATCAAGGCTCTTTTACAATCAAGCACTTAGAATAGTCGAGCGTGCTGTCCTACCGACAGCTCTTGTTATATAGCCTGGTCAGACTTGACTTTTCTTTTGAATACAAATATTTTTTCCGGTTCAGGCAGGTCAAGGGTTTACCTTTAACCTAAAACAGATTAGCATTCAACTTGAACAATGCATAATTGTTTTATAATCAACAGGTGCCCAGCAGTTTGGTGGTGGTGGACCACCTGGTCAAGAACAAGCATGGGGTAACCAGTTTCCTGGGCAACAAATATTCAACGATCCAATGGCAAATATGGCTATGCAATACGGAACTTCTTTAGCTGGCCAGGGCAAAGATATTGTTAATAAAAATGTGAGTGAATTTGATTTTATTGAAACAAAAATACTTTGAATGAAATAATCTTACAGAGTTTATATGAAAATGTGCTAAAATCCTGAAATTCTTAATACTTAAGTAAACTTATATATAAAAGTGTTATTTGTTAACTGTCCCATCAAACTAATTTTTAGACATAAAATTGGAAAGTCATTCCCAAATTAAGGTTGCTGAAGTCAAACCACCTGCCTCTCATGTGAGGAAGCTATCCAGCTAGCTTGTGGAACATCTGTGGTTCTACTTGGGTGTCTGAGTCGGGGCCGTGTCTGAAATAATGCATGGATCATGACATCTCCCTCCACCAGTAAAGCTTGAATGTATCTGTTAGACCTTTACTGTGTCAGAGCAATGTAAAACCCATTAAAGAAAAAAAATGATTTCTTTTGAAAATATCATGCCTACTTAATGGTAAAAATGTGTTTTTCTTTTTATTTCAGTTAGAAAAATATGTGTCGACATCAAAATTAAAATACTATTTTGCAGTAGATACGTCTTATGTTGGAAAGAAACTTTTAATGCTTCTCTTTCCCTATTCTCATACAGTAAGTATTACTCTCTGTTATTAGTAACGTGCTAAAACCATCTTCCAATCAGGCCAAAAAAAACATTTATCATTTTTAAAGGAAAAATTTCAAAATATAATACTGACTGCGTAATGAACAGTACAGAACATAGTCAGACGCCATACATGTGTAGGCTAATCATGGTCTGCATTGGTCACATGGGGGCAGAATCAGTTGATACGAGAAGGCTTAAGGTTAAATGAATAACAGTTTGTACAATATTTCTTTTGTAAGTAAGTGACCGTGATGGTATAAGCTCCGAGTTCAATTTCACATTGTTCTCTTTACCCATTAGAAATTCGAGGACGAATTTCAATATAGCGGGGGAGTATGTCACGGTTCAGAACTGTTCACTATTTAGGGGAGAAGATGTGTAAGCGGCCGGATAGCTCAGTCGGTAGATCCGCGGTACGGTATTCCGAGGGTCCCGGGTTCGAGTCCCGGTCAGGCTGCACATTTTTCTCTTAGAAGGCTTAAGGTTAAATGAATAACAGTTTGTACAATATTTCTTTTGTAAGTAAGTGTTTTTCTAGGGATTTGAAAGGGAAATAATTAATACAGGTAGGGTTTTGATTGGGCCTTTTCATTTGAAATCTGTCTTTAATGGTTGAAACTCAGCTACATGTAATATGGTTGCAATTACCTTTTTGAGATAATAAAAAAATTATAATATTTGATACATAATATCTTGAGAGTATTTCAACAATGATATTAGATATATTAGTGTAGAGTTGATAATAGTATATGTGATTTTGTCATCATCAAAATAGGAAATAAGATTAAGGTTAATAAGAAATGTTGTCAAATTTTGTAATGCTGTAGAAAAAAAAACTTTGTATGTGTCAGATTAATCTGTGCATTTAAGTGGCATTCCACTAGATGAGCCAAAATATTTCAAGAAAACCAAATTTGAGAGAAATGAACTGAGATTTTAAGAAAATCAGAAGGATTCAATATTCAAGATTCAAATTTACATGGTAATGTGGGATTACTCAGTGTGAGTTTTTGCAGTATTTATCGCCACATTTCTATTGTTTAACTAATGTAGTGAGGGCAGTTTTTACATATTTTAACATCTTTTTGATAATTTACCTGGATAGAAAATGCTTTAATTTTCAAATGTGTTAACTACTTTCTTTGTTTACTATAGAATGTTTTAATGTTGAATACATTTTCAAAATTTTCATAAAAACTAGCATGAATCCGGAGGCATGCTGCTTTAATAGTCTTCAAAATGTTGTGTCTAAATCGACAGCTGCGTGAATTCTCATCTGTTTATTTGTTTGCTTTTGCTTTTTTTTTTGTTATCACTCATTATTTTACTGTAATATTCCTTATAATATAATTCATAAGACTTATATCTGAAAAATATTTGAGGTTATCTCAACTTGGAGATGAAATGATTGTCAGAGCCATAAACTATACTGCAAAATCATTATTATTCGTGGGGCACTTTTTTCGTAGTTTTTATAGATAGAGCTGTTCACAAATATATGATCCAAATAATTATATTTAGTCTACTGTAAATAAATACTTTTTTGCAATAATAGACAATCCATGAAATTAAAGACCCACAAAAATGTGCTTTGTTTCCCGCAAAATTAAGTGAATTCACAGTAATTGATTTTTATAATCTTAATTATTGCCCAGCTGTCACAATAACAGATATACACCATTCTGTCACATGTATTTAGTATACAAGTTGTCTATAAAGATTATCTTGTAAAGCTCTAGAAATTGTGGATAAAATGAGTTGAACAAAGAAAAATAAGTATTACTATCCTATCCCTGGTAAAAATGTTGAGATTTGGAATTTTTCATCTTTTGATTTCGAGCTGTCCATTATTTCTTTAAGGGGTTATATTGTAGCTTTATGCACTTTCCTTACTGTGTTTTTGTTACATAATTTAACAACTACATGTAGATTGCAACATTCACGCTGAGTTGATGTAAAACATAATACCTAAAACTCATTATTATTTGTAAGGCCCTTATTTTTAGTGGATAGGTCCGACAGAATTTTATTTTGTTTGCTGTATGATTATTATTTTGTATTACATTATTTGTATATAACTTTTTTTTACAAAAAAAACCCCAGACAATCCTTAAATTTAAAAACCCATGAAAAATATCCTTTTTGACTCAAAACCTTGAAATAACATGCCCACAAAATTTAGTGAATCTAAAGTACTCATTTACTTTCTTGTTTCAAGATAATGATCACAGTGCTTTTTGTTGTTATTGTTGTTTTTTTTTTCATTTAAAAAGACCATATTTTCATCAGAAATAATAAATTACTACAAAAATATTTATTATGAAAATTAAGAAACAATTTATGTATCCCCGACAGTGATTTTATCACTAAATAAAATCATTGTTTGGAGTTTGGGTGCGAGGAATTATATCATGAGGGCGTAGCCAGAGCGATATAGTGTTGTGCATCCTAACGAGAAACAGTAATATTATCAAGCAATAAAATCAGTGCTTGAGATATATTATTTCAATTCTAAGGCAATAAAATAAAGAAATAATTGCTGCCGTACCTGATATCAAGCTAAATTGTGCCTGATTTGTTTCCGTACTTACAATGTATTTTCACCGCATCACATTTTTAGTAGATATGTCACATGCCTAAATATAGATCCTCAACAGTAATTTTAATGCATATTTACACACACTTTTAGTTCTTTTATTTTCAACAGGAACAAATGCGGGTCAGGTTAAAATATGTAATACTACATTTATATATTCTTATTTTCAGAATTGGTCTATAAAGTTTGACCAGGATCAACCAGTGGCACCAAGATTTGATGAGAATGCACCAGATTTATATATCCCAGGTAAATTATAACTGTGATATATTAAGCCATATAATGAGTTATAATACCTGCACCATGCTAAATTTGTTTAATAGATTTATCCTGCTTTGATTTTGGCAACATCCAATGTTTGTTGGTATATGTGGTTGGGCCTGTTATTATCATCTTTAGCATTGAATGTGTTAAAGTTCTTCAAGTTAAATAATATTTTATTGTAGAAATAAACACATAGTAACGGTAATGTGCTTCACAATTTTACAAACATAATCACCTAGTGTACATACATGTATATGTACAAAAGGATTAGGTCAAAAGTATGTTATATGAGAACATAATTATGGTCCCACCTCTTAAAAGTTCTTAAGCTTTTATAAAGAAAAAGTTGCGTCTTAAGGTAGCCTCATTGCAATGCTTTTCCGCTAAAAAATTTCTATCATTGGCCAATATCATGGAAAGTCGGTCATTTCTGGAACTTAATTTTTCACAACCTTATGTGTTAAATAATTTTTTAACCGTTATAATCAGTATTTAGTACATAGTACAGTCATGGATCTCAACTTTTCCATGGCACACTTATAAAAAGGATTTGTATTTCAAGGTCTTATTTTGAAGTTACAGTAAAAATTTCTTTTCAAGATATTGATTAGATTGCTGCTTTTATGCCCAAACAGTGCAATACTTTAAAGGATGTGTAACGCTTGTTTCAATAAATTTAATGCAATTTTACCAAAAATTGTGAGTGATGATTAAAAAATAATATACCTAACCTAGTATGACATACTTATTATATATAAATATTTCATTTGGTTTTGATTTTGACAAATGGTAGAAAATGATATGTATATTAGGAATTGAGAGGTGATATGTACATGTATGGCTGTGTAATGCATACATCCCTTACCTGCCCAATTATCAGATTAGTGGATACAATAAGAATTTCACCACAACATATTTATTAACAAAAGAGCACATGTCAATGTTTGTGGTTAAATCTATTGTTATTCAAATAAAAGGTCAGAGTAGGGATCTATCAATTCTTAACTTATTTTATGTAAATTTTTTATGATTGCTTTAATTTCTTATTTCAGTTATGGCGTTTGTTACATATGTTTTAGTCTCTGGAATAGTATTAGGAACACAAGAAAGGTGAGTTACTTATCTACACTGAATCAATCCAATACAAGATATGAGCTGCGTCATGACAAAACCAACATAATGCGTTTGCGACCAGCATGGATCCAGACCAGCCTGCGCATCCGCGCAGTCTGATCAGGATCAATGCTGTTCGCTTACAAACCCTATAACAAGTAGAGAAACTGATAGCGAACAGCATGGATCCTGATCAGACTGCGCGGAAGCACAGGCTGGTCTGGATCCATGCTGGTCGCAAACCCACTATGTTGGTTTTGTCGTGACGCGGCTCATATTTTGTGTTCAAAGTTTTACATTTTTATTACCCCAGCCATTAACCTTTTGAATTTCTTATATGGACTTGCCGCGCTGTCCTTTCTGTGGTAATTAAGGTGAAAATTTAAAGTTGATCACCATCAGTAAAGAGCTCCGTCGTATTTCGTCTTAAGCAGGTTTTTGAAGGATGGCCTAGCTCTATACTGGTGGGTAAGAGGAATCTCTGTACTTTCCAGCTGTATAATGGGTAGTGAAGAAGAAAAGTAACGCTCACAATAATGTAATAATTCATTCTACAGTCGACTCTGGTTATAATGAATTCAATGGGACATAAAAATATATATTATAAGCGAGTACGTATTAAGCGATGTGATTTAATATAAATTTAAGAAGGAATCGGCAGGGGATGTCAGATTTAGTTCGCTATTAACGATAATTCGTTATAAGCGAGTTCGTTATAAGTGGAGTCGACTGTATATGCACAGGACTATTTATTGATGTTTTTTATTTGTAGGTTTACACCGGAACAACTAGGTTTACAGGCCAGTACAGCTTTAGTTTGGATTATAATTGAACTTGTAGCTGTTATGCTGAGTTTATACATAATGAATCTATCAACGGAACTCAAATACATGGATATTCTGGCATACACTGGGTACAAATTTGTTGGGTAAGTTGTAACAACTTTAACTTTGGTGTACTTCATACTGTAAAAGTGGATATTTCCATGTGTTTAAAAGTTTGCCAATTTAGAATTCAAGACATTTCGCGTGAGGAAATACTAGCCAATTGTGCAAGGGTAAAAATTAATAATAGGTTGGTTGAAATTAACGCTAGAAGAAATTTTAGTGATTTTCGTCTATTCGCAAAATTCACCCATATTTTTACATCGCTATCTTAACCACTTAAATAATGGGACTTAATGAGCTTTTTATTTGGAAGAGTTAATTGATAATTTCAAGGATTGTAAGTTACACCGTGTTGATAATATTTAAGAGTAAGAAGGTTTTTCTGCTTTTGTGGCCATGTGATTTAAGTTTTTTTAGCTCACCAGAGCCGAAGGCTCAGGGTGAGCTATTAGTATCAAAGGGTGATGCTCCGTCGTCATGCGTCAACAATCGTCTTCTTCTCTGAAACTATTAAGCAGATTTACTTCAAATTCGGTCTATAGCATCCTTGTGACAGTCACACTTGAATTTGCTCATGTCATTCCAATTGGCCCCTTTTAGGGGTCAGCAGAGCTAAAAATAGAAAAACCTTTAAACCTCTTCTTCTACAAAACTAATTGATGGATGATCACCAAACTTTGACTGTAGCATTTTTGGGTAGTCTTTTATCAAGTTTGCTCATATTAATTTTATTGGCCCCTTTTATGGGTCTGTAGGGCTAAAAATAGAAAAACCTTTAAACATCTTCTTCTACAGAACTAATTGATGGATGATCACCAAACTTTGTCTGTAGCATTCTTGGGTAGTCTTTTATCAAGTTTGCTCATATGAATTTGATTGGCCCCTTTAAGGGGCCGCTAAAATAAAAAATAGAAAAACCTTTAAACGTCTATTCTACAAAACTAATGGATGGATGATCACCAAACTTTGTCTGTAGCATTCTTGGGTAGTCTTTTATCAAGTTTGCTAATATTATTTTGATTGGCCCCTTTTAGGGGTCTCTAGGGCTAAAAATAGAAAAACTTTAAAAGATATTCTCCTACAGAACTAATTGATGGATGATCACCAAACTTTATTAAGTTTGCTGATATTAATTTGATTGGCCCCTTTATGGGGCCACTAAAGCTAAAAATAGAAATACTGTTTAATGTCTATTTCTAGGGAACTAATTGATGGATTATCACCAAACTTTGTCTGTAGCATTCTTGGGTAGTCTTTTATCAAGTTTGCTCATATTAATGTGATTGGCCCCTTTTAGAGGCCACTATAGCTAAAAATAGAAAACCTTTAAACGTCTATTTTCTACAGAACTAATTGATGGAAGATCACCAAACATTGTCTGTAGCATTCTTGGGTAGTCTTTTATCAAAATGGCCCAAATTCGGATTGTGACATTAGTCTCGATAGTGAAAGTGAGATAGAATCAATCTGATAGATCGAGTGACAGTCAAAGTGAAAATGAAAGTGCGGACGAAAATGTGAAATATTCTCAGTGGAAGACAAAGATCGGTCAGAATTGCCTAAGAGACCATTCACAGGCCCAAATCCAGATCTTGATTCAGATTCAAATGACTTTGATTTCTTTGAACTGTTCTTTTCTGTGTTTCTGATTGAGCTACTTTGTAGACAGTAATTTTGATTTTGTTTACAAAAATATCTAGTGTAGCTGATGACATTTTTAGCTCGACTATTCGAAGAATATGAGAGCTATTATAGTCGCCCTGGCGTCGGCGTCAGCGTCCGCGTCGGCGTCTGCGTTGGTTAAAGTTTTTTGTAAAGTCAAATATCTCAATTATTACTTGAGATATTCAATTGAAACTTACAATACTTATTTATAGTAACAAGGTACATCAGATTGACAAGTTGGATAACTCTGCCTACAATATTGACAGAATTATGCCCCTTTTTAACTTAGAAATTTTGGTTAAAGTTTTTTGTAAAGTCAAATATCTCAATTATTACTTGAGATATTCAATTGAAACTTACAATACTTATTTATAGTAACAAGGTACATCAGATTGACAAGTTGGATAACTCTGCCTACAATATTGACAGAATTATGCCCCTTTTTAACTTAGAAATTTTGGTTAAAGTTTTTTGTAAAGTCAAATATCTCAATTATTGCTTGAGATATTCAATTGAAACTTACAATACTTATTTATAGTAACAAGGTACATCAGATTGACAAGTTGGATAACTCTGCCTACAATATTGACAGAATTATGCCCCTTTTTAACTTAGAAATTTTGGTTAAAGTTTTTTTGTAAAGTCAAATATCTCAATTATTGCTTGAGATATTCAATTGAAACTTACAATACTTATTTATTGTAACAAGGTACATCAGATTGACAAGTTGGATAACTCTGCCTACAATATTGACAGAATTATGCCCCTTTTTAACTTAGAAATTTTGGTTAAAGTTTTTTGTAAAGTCAAATATCTCAATTATTGCTTGAGATATTCAATTGAAACTTACAATACTTATTTATAGTAACAAGGTACATCAGATTGACAAGTTGGATAACTCTGCCTACAATATTGACAGAATTATGCCCCTTTTTAACTTAGAAATTTTGGTTAAAGTTTTTTTGTAAAGTCAAATATCTCAATTATTGCTTGAGATATTCAATTGAAACTTACAATACTTATTTATAGTAACAAGGTACATCAGATTGACAAGTTGGATAACTCTGCCTACAATATTGACAGAATTATGCCCCTTTTTAACTTAGAAAATTTGGGTAAAGTTTTTGTGTAAATTAGATATCTCAATTATTGCTTGAGATATTCATTTGAAATTTAACTTCTATTTTAAAGTAACAATGTACATCAGTTTGCAAAATTGCATAACTCTCCCTGCAATATTTGCAGAATTATTTGCCCCTTTGAAACTTAGAAATTTTGGTTAAAGGTTAAAGGTCTTCAAAGATAGTTACTTGAAACTTTACACATGCACTTAGGGTCATAATTGGAGGGTCATAATTGTATGTCACTGACCAAGTTCCATAACTCTATCTTGCATTAAGGCTGATTCATATCCCCTTTTCTACTTAGTCTCTTGGTTAATGTTTACATGCAAGTTTTACATATCTCAATAACTATTAAAGATATTTATTTAAAACTTCACATATGCATTTAGGGTCATAATTGTAGGTCACTGACAAAGATCCATAATTCTATCTTGCATTTAGGCTGATTTTTCTCCCCTTTTTAACTTAGAAATTCATGGTAAAGTTTTGTTTGTAAGCTGGCAAATTACATAATGCACCCCCTATTATTTATGACCTGTCAATAAAACAGTGCAATATCCCTCAGGGAGACAGTTTAGATAAAATCAATAAGGTACCTAGGAGTTGGCTTATCAGTTATCAGTAGGGTTTAAGTGGTAGACAGTGTACAGGGTTGAATGAGTTAATGTCTATTTCTAGAGAACTAATTGATGGATGATCACCAAACTTTGTCTGTAGCATTCTTGGGTAGTCTTTTATCAAGTTTGATAATATTATTTTGATTGGCCCCTTTTAGGGGTCTCTAGGGCTAAAAATAAAAAACCTTTAAACATATTCTCCTACAGAACTAATTGATGGATGATCACCAAACTTTGTCTGTAGCATTCTCGGGTAGTGTTTTATCAAGTTTGCTCATATTAATTTGATTGGCCCCTTTTAGGGGCCGCTAAAGCTAAAAATAGAAATACTGTTAAATGTCTATTTCTAGAGAACTAATTGATGGATGATCACCAAACTTTGTCTGTAGCATTCTTGGGTAGTCTTTTATCAAGTTTGCTAATATTATTTTGATTGGCCCCTTTTAGGGGTCTCTAGGGCTAAAAATAGAAAAACCTTTCAACATATTCTCCTACAGAACTAATTGATGGATGATCACCAAACTTTGGCGGAAGCATTCTTGGGTAATCTTTTATCAAGTTTGCTAATATTATTTTGATTGGCCCCTTTAAGGGGCAGCTTCAGCTAAAAAAAGAAATACATTAAAATGTCTATTTCTACAGAACTAATGGATGGATGATCACCAAACTTTGTCTGTAGCATTGTTGGGTAATATTTTATCAAGTTTGCTCATATTATTTTGATTGGCTCCTTTTATGGGCTACTAAAATTAAAAATAGATATACGTTTAAACGTCTTCTCCTACAGAGCTTATTGATGGATGATCACCAAACTTTGTCTGTAGCATTATTGGGTAGTCTTTTATCAAGTTTGCTCATATTAATTTGATTACCCCCTTTTAGGGGCCGATAAAATTAAAAATAGAAATACGTTTAAACATCTTCTTCTACAGAACTAATTAATGGATGATCGATCACCAAACTTTGTCTGTAGTATTTTTGGGTAATCTATTATCAAGTTTGCTCACATTTTTGATTGGCACCTTTTAGGGGCCGCTAAAGCTAAAAATAGAAAAACCTTTAAACATCTTCTTATTCAGAACCAATTGATGGGTGATCACCAAACTTTGTCTGTAGCATTCTTGGATACACTTTTATCAAGTTTGCTTTTATTAATTTGATTAGCCCATTTTAGGGGCCACTAAAGCTATTATGTAAAAAAAACCTTCGAACATCATTTCCTACTGAAATAATTGATAGATGATCACCAAACTTTGTAGCATTCTTAGGTAGTCTTTTATCAAGTTTGCTTATATTAATTTGATTAGTCCTGTTTAAGCTAAAGTTTAAATGTCCCAGGTCATGGCATTTCTTCAAATTATTGTTTAAACATATTCTATGCTCAAATTTGATATTAGAATATATTGACATTCCAACACTGTAAGGCAGTTGTTTCTGGTGAGCGACTCAGGGCCATCATGGCCCTCTTGTTTAAAAATGGCAGAGCATCTTTATTAAAGTGATCATATAAGTCAGCAAAGTCAGTAATGTATATGTTGAAGTTATCTAGGCAGCTTACAAAAGGACGGTGTATCTGCTAGGATATGGCTGATTTAATCGTACAGTAGGGCATTGTAGCTGATTTTGCTGTACCTGTATACTCCTGGTATTGACAAGTTGTTTAGCTGCTTTCACTTTAAAGGTGTACTGCCAGTAAAGTTGATAAACAGTGTTATCACTGATAACTGGCTTAACTGACTAGTCGATCCTTTACAGTCAACTGTTATGTTTAAATTAAGGTTTTTATGCTCTTTTTTTTCTAGGATGATTTTCAGTTTATTAGGAGGAATGTTGTTTCAGTCAACAGGCTACTATGGGGTTCTAGCTTGGTTCAGTATTGCTATTGTTTTCTTTTTGGTAAGTGAATTCTCATTTTCTATGCTTGAATTTTTTTTAAAAACTATCAGTTTTAATGTACTAAAAACTTGCTGTAATCTCAACTGTTTGTATGATACATGTATACTGATGACTTATTGCTGTCATAGACTGGCTTTATCAAGTGACGGCTGCTTACTTCTAACATGTTTGAACTGTAGTAAATCTTAAGCTATTTCCTGGATTCCATCATTACTGTAAGGGGAATTTACAGATTGACCTTGTTTATATAAAACAGGCTTCTTTGGCTGAAAGGTTTAGGTTGCTGTCTTTGAATCAATTGCCCCACTCTGCTGTGTGTTTGATCTGAACTGAAACTTTCTAGTATGGAAACTATCCAGCAAACTTACAGACTACCTTCAAGCATACTAAGGTGCCTCGTTGTGCCTAAAATAGCATAATGTTGGACACTACCTTAGGTCTACCTACACCAATAAAACTGGAAAATCAAAATATCACCTTCACATTATTGTAGTGACTTAAAACTTATGTAAATATTTGTTTGTACAATAACCAATTATTTCATGCATTGTATTTTCCAGGTACGTACATTAAAAAGTCAAATAATGCCAAGGTCAGAGACTGAAGGTTACACAGGATCAGGGACCAAAAGGAGTTTATATCTTATACTGTCTATATCTTTCGCTCAGCCAGTACTGATGTGGTGGCTTACTAGACATATTGTGTTTGCCAAATAGTGACATTAACTTCATGCATAGCTGAAATGAAATGTGCTCATGTTAAGAAGAAAAAAAAACACAAGTGTTTGTGTGTACTCTTGAAACCATTGTGGAGGCAGAGGAAAATTTTGAATTTAAAACAAATATTGAATAAAAATTATAAATATATCCTTGATACTAACTTCTATCTCAAAGGAGTGGGATCTTAATTGATAATTTTCTAAGTTAAGGCGATTTATTTATATTATATGAAGATCATATGAAAATTGTTATTTATGTGTTATAGAGAGCAGTCAAAAATCCAAGAATTCTGATTGGTTTGTTTAAATCTCCTATTTGAATTTGACCAATAAGATTGTTGCATTTGGAGACTGGTTTACAATTTCAAGGGAAGAGTGTGACCTGTTAATATGAGCATGCCATAACAAAATATTCACAGAGTGCTTGAAAATAATAATATTTTGAATATTATTGAAGAATGAATTATTGAACAGAGCTCCAGATAATTTTTTTGGCCAAGGGGTTTTTACCCCTGAAAATTTAGAGTGAGGGGTAAAATGCAAATTCTGAAAAACTTAAAGGGTAAAATCTGTCAATAAAGCATTTTGCATTTTTTATAAACAAATTAAACTTATTGTTTTTGTTTGTTTTTTTGTTTGGTTATTTTCTTTTTTTAGAAAAACCTTTACAGATTAAATACTGATTTAATGTGAAACAATACAAAACATGCCATGTAACGTCAGACTTCCAGAGTATACTGGAACTCAAGTTTAGGATACACAGCAAAATTATCAGGGCTTCCATTTTCAAAATTTGGAAGTCAAAGACTTCAAAATCTCTGATATTGGAAGTCAAATTATATAGGTAAAGAAGGAAAGTATTGATTTTTGGAAGTCACAGGCCAATTGAAGGAGTAAAAGACTCCCAAACTTCCACTAGTGGAAGCCCTCAAGTTATTTTATTTTCTAGGAGTCAATATTTTTCTTTCTTTATTTTTGTTGGCATGTACCTTATCATGTACTCCAGTTTGAACAATTATAGTTGTAATTAGAATTAAAGAAACATAAACAAGTTTTTCATCTTTCCTTAAAAAAAATTATTAGTCTGAGAGAAAATTGGCCGTAACTGTATACTGGGTACGAAAATATTGAGTACAAGACTGCAGGTGAATAACATGTTATTTTGTTCCAACAACTAAAGTTAAAGAAATTTTATTAAAATATATATTTTTTGTTTATATTGAGTATGTCAATAGATGCCTAAACAAAGTTAATACTGTGTTAACTCCTACAATGATTATCTGGCACAAATTTCATCAAAAATTTCACAGGTTGATAGATCAACGGGAGTTACCTCCCTTCTGTATTTCCTGCTACTTTCGTTTTTAACATGCGTTGTTGACAACAGAATTTTTAGTTTTCAATGCAATTAAATGGAAATATATTTTATTTTATGCTCAAAAAATATTCTTTCTACATATCAAATGTTTACACTTCTATTCTTTTACGCATAAATTTTGACATACGAGCGTATTTTCATTTTTTTGTGCGTAACTGTGACGCACGAATTTTGAAAGTGATGCGTATTTTAGATTTTCTTTGCGTATTTTACGCTTATACGCACGCTATCTGGAGCTCTGTTGAAGGTTTGCTACTGAAATGTGCGTTTGATTTCAAGAATAGACAGATGTTGTGAGCTTTGACTAATTGTGAAAATTTTATGTAGGTAAATCTTGTCCAAAGTGAGAATGTATTATTCATGGGTATGTTATAATTATTAAGCACCAAATGATATAAAATTGTCAGTATTTACTGTAAAAAACCTCTCTCTCTATTTTCCGTAACACATATGCTGTGATACTCCCGCAAAGTTTTGCAAAAAATGGAAGATATAACTTGCATTAGTTATATTATACTCGATGAGGTGCGGAAAGAAACTGGTTAAAGGTATTGGTGTAAATTAATATATTTTTAACTCATTTATAGATTACATGACATCAAATTTTTGTATACCTTGTAGCTATAATATTCTTTATTTAATTCATAACTTTGTCATTTCGACTAGAAGTGTGGCTTAAGTGAAAAACTTTTAAAACTTGAGGTGATCAATTATATTGATATCTATTGGTATATTTTTTTTTTATCTTTTCACTTTCATACATTCACTGCTGAGATGTTTATTGAGAACTACAGTAAAAGCTTAATCTCACTTCTGTATACTAGTGATAAGTTCTTGAATTGTTGCTGCCAAAATTCCAAAACTATTGTTAATGATGATATATATAACTTACTAAGACAATTAAAATTATATCCATTATTGTCTTAAAATTCATCACTTCAGTGCAGTGATGGTTTATCTCCTTTTAAATCTGATAGGAGTTACACTGTTACTGCACTAAGGTGAGGAAATATCAAGATCCTTATGTTTAAATCTATAGTGTTGCCATATCTGCATGATCTGTGTTAAAATATATGAGCCGCGCCATGACAAAACCAACATCATGGGTTTGCAACCAGCATAGATCCAGACCAGCCTGCGCATCCGCGCAGTCTGCTATTAGCTATACGTTTCTCTACTTGTACATGTTGTAAAAGAGTTGCTAAGCGAACAGCATGGATCCTGATCAGACTGCGCGGATGCGCAGGCTGGTCTGGATCCATGCTGGTCGCAAACCCACTATGTTGGTTTTGACGTGACGCGGCTCATATATATTTTTTATTGTTCTTTTTAAAGTGACATTATGCCTATTCCAAGGATATATAGTGACTGAACAGGTGGAAGTCAAACTAAGTTTTTATTTTGCCATAAATACTTGCAGTTTAAAATTTACTTCCGAAAAAACGATAACTCACTTGGCTTAAGGAAT